GATAGCATTTGGGCAGCCACCTTCGGCGGATTGCTGCCGGGTTTTGAAAGCATCACACCTAGCACTAGTAGTGTGTTTACGGCTACTAAAGCATAACAAATGAGAAACTGCAAAGTACACAAAATTAGCATTCTGGCATCTTCTTCAGCTAATAGGTCAGAATTGGGAACCTCAATTTCTTTTTTCTTTCTTCGTCTTCCCCGCCCCGACATAGCGCTTCGCTTTCGAGTTTCGAATTAGAAATTGATAAGAAATTGAACAGGCATTCAAGCTTGGAAAAGGGATATCCGGATAGTCAAGGATGCGATTTATTCTGATTTTTTTTCTTAAATAGAATGAATACAATAGGAATGCTTGTGTTGTGGTTTTCGTAATTGCAAGAATCTTTTTTTCTCGAGAAAAAGTCCACTCCTTCAATATCATGATTGGATCGACCAGGCCAAATCGTGTCAGCAACTTGATTTTGTTCTCTAAAGTTGTGTTGGATGATAAATTGCCTCTATCGGTTCATTAGTAACCTGCATCATTGAAAATAGAAGTAACATAAATAGAATTATCACTATTAAGATCCTTAATCAAGTTATATTTTGCACCCTTAATGTGACATTTTCTTCATAATAATTCATTCAAAAAAGAATATTATTTTTATATTTAAAAAAATTAAATTTTTTAATTTTATTCTTAATGACATGCTTTTATACTGATTATTTTTATGACATGTTTAGAAAAAAAATTCAATTTTTTATTTTTATTTTTATTTTTATGACATGTTTAGAAAAAAAATTCATGATCAATTAATGAGGGATTACTATTCTTTTGGCACAAGGTGTAATAAAAATAAGGCTGTATGGTGGGCCGGGCCCGGGCCTAAATGGGCTAAACGGGCCTGGGCTTAGCGGTCCCGGGCTTCGTGGGCTCAACGGGTGGGACCAGCCCGTGACGGGCCTAAGCCCATATGGTCCTGGGCTAAATGGGCCGGGCTCGTGGGCTTAGCGGGCCTAACAGGCTTTTTTATTTCCGGGCTTTTTTTTTAATTTTTTTTATTTAAGGCAATTTCTTGTAAACCATATATGTATGTATATATATATAAATTGCTCTTATGCATGGCTATATAAATATATGTAGTATATATAATATAGAAATCTAATTATTAAAGTGCTTGACGAAAAAGTAAAATAACAAAACAATAGTAAAACTAAATTGGCATGCATAATAAATTAATAACAAAGTACAACATGAAGCATAAATACGTCTAATAATTTTAAAATAATACAAATTGTTGAAAAATCTTAAAGACGAATTTGCGGATAAATACCCTCAACACAATACTTTATATGCCTCCTTAAAATGCCTGTGGTACACCCTGAATGAAAATTTAAGACTCTTCCACAGTTCTTGCACTTTAATATTTGGCCTTCTTCATTTTCTTCAAGCACTTCATAGTATTGCGAAACAAATAAGCGCACTCTTTCCAAACGAGGCATGATTTAACTTGAAAATTGAGATTGAGACTTGAAGCCTTGAAAATTGGAGAATGAGAGAAATTTAGATTGAGAAATGAGTATTGAGTATTGAAATGAAGAAGAGGGAGGGGGGTATTTATAGTGTTAGAGAAGGTTAGTTTTGTAAATTGAAAAAGAAAAAAAATAAAAAAATAGGCTATTTGTGCAATATGACTGTTGGCAATGGTCATTGGGGGTGGGCCCTCCTTTTGAAAAGTCTTGTAATATTTTGTAGTATATATAGTAAGTTAGTATATAAATATCTATATATATATAGTTTATAGTATATATAGTATACTATACTATATATAGTATGTTATGTATATATATTTTCAAACATAATTTCTTGTAATGTTTTGTAGTATATATAGTATGTTATGTATATATATTTCCTTATATAATTTCTTGAAGTATATATAGTATGTTAGTATATATGTTAGTATATATATATGTATGTATATATATATATATATATATATATATATAGTATATATTGTATGTTATGTATATATATTCCCTTATATATTTTCTTGTAGTATATATTGTATGTTATGTATATATATTATAGCTTATAAATAATTGCAAGTTAAAGACAAAAAAATATTGCAAAGAGATATTCAAGGGAATGTCTTATAATTTTTATTACCAAAAATGGCATATCTTTCTTAGTCTTATTCCCCCCAATGGAATGAGCTCAACAAGGTGCTAATACCACCATTAAAAGGAAAAAAAACTAAAGAAGATATNTATAGTATATATAGTATACTATACTATATATAGTATGTTATGTATATATATTTTCAAACATAATTTCTTGTAATGTTTTGTAGTATATATAGTATGTTAGTATATATATATATATATATATATATATAGTATGTTATGTATATATATTTTCAAATATAATTTCTTGTAGTATATATAGTGTGTTATGTATATATATTAGAGCTTGTAAAGAATTGCAAGTTAAAGACAAAAAAATATTGCAAAGAGATATTTAAGGGAATGTCTTATAATCAAAAATGGCATATCTTTCTTAGTCTTCTTCCCCCCAATGCAATGAGCACAACAAGGTACTAATACCACCATTAAAAGGAAAAAAAACTAAAGAAGATATGTCAAAGTACAAGTTACACCATAATCTACATTGTATCTCTAACAGATCTCATAAATCCTTCAAGGTTCGGAGGAGGTTCCGTTGGTGGTGGCGGAAAAGAAGCTTGTTCATCACCGCTTCCGGGCGAAGCAGCATCCTCCGCAAGTTCCGCTATCATTTCTTCATAAGCTTCGTCTATCTCCGGTTGTGATTCTGCAAGTCCAAAGTTTCTTCTTTCCGAGCGGATCCAATCTCTGAATAGTACTGATTTTTCCAAGCTCTCCCTCATAGACGCTCTATGATCACCTATTTGAAGTCTTGCTTGACTGAAAGCGCTCTCTGATGCAACTGTTGAAGCTTGAATAGATAAAATATCCCGAGCCATCCTTGCAAGAACCGGAAAATGTTTTTCCCTTGCCTTCCACCATTCCAAAAGATCAAAGGTGCCGTCTGGATTCTCCTTTTCAAGTCCCTGCGACAAATAAACTTGAAGCTCATTTAGATGTGAAGTCTCATCAAAATTATCACCTTGAGAACCCCTAAACTCCTTTTATCTCTAATGCAAAAATATCTACAAATATCTGTAACAGTGTTAGCAATAAACTTACCTGTGTGACGTGAATTAATTATTCTATACGCAATAATGCGTTTTTGCATTATCCACTCCTCATCTATCCAATGACTTGTAACAGTTAGATAATCACAGTCATTATTACTTCTACCAACATCAGTAGTAATAGAAATCCGATTAGTTATATGAGTAAATAAATACCGCAAATATTGTTCATATTCATGTTTATATTTATAAATATCGCTCTTAACTGTTGCGCGAGGCCAACCTTTATAAGTAGGATTAAAAACTTTATAATGCACAAAATTAGGGTTAGAAGGAAAAGTATATGGTAAGCACATAACGGTAACCATCTTTGCTAATTCTTCACGATCTTTATTAGGATCGTAATATAAAATACCACCGGTCACAGTGTTAATTCCTGGTTGAACTAGATTTGAACCTGTACTAGGGTTAACCGCAGTATCTACACTTGTCCCCTCTTGCTGCGCTTTCATTTGTAAATATTTAACTTTATCTCTAGGGTGTGTTTGTACGTGCCTAGCCAAACTACCCGTACCGCTACGGTCTCCAGTATATTTATGCGCCAGCAATTTCCCACAAGTTTTACACTTAGCCTTATTTTGTTCTCTTACTTGAGTAAAAAAATTCCAAACTATTGATGTTTCTAGGCGTTTAGAAGGTTGTCTATTAAAAGTAGGGGTTTCTACAGGTGGGTCGGGCGGGGCATCAATTGGGTTATTAACAGGACTAGTAGGTGTATCATCTAAATCCGGTTGAGTTTCATCTACATCCTCATTTTCCTCATCATTTTCTAAGATAGTTTGATTAGGATAAAGAGCATTCATAACTTCTTCATTTAATTGTTCACCTGGTGCAACATTATGGCAAAATTCACTATCGGAAAATTGAAAACAAGGGTTATCACTATCAAGAATAATAGGAGCAGCAGGACGGGTAACAGGTCTGGGTCGGGGAGCCGGGGGAAGGGTAGTAGGTTGGAGACTAGTTTCACCAATTTTAGCTTTTCCCTTACCACCAAACATTTTTTTAAAAAAAAAAATGCCATATTAATTACAATTATGCAAACTAAAACTTACAAAAATATATTCTTAAAACTTAAGAGTTGGAACGAGTTTACCGAATTGCCGAACAACTTCTTGAAAATTGAAAATCATTGAAGACTTGAAGACTTGAATACTTCAATTCACCAACTTCACAATTTTTCACGAAATTGCAATAATAAAATAAGCAATTATAGAAGAGAAATTAGATATAGATTGAGAGAGATTGATGAATTGGTGAGTAAAAATGAAAGAATGAGGGGGTATTTATAGTTGAGAATTGGAAAAAAGTATAATTATATAAAGTTTGGGGTTAAAATAAAGTTTGGGGGCCAAATGACTATTTTTTAAAGTGGCCAACGGATAAATTATGAAGGCCAACAGCTAGATTTTAAAAATCTGACCGTTGGTCTTAATAGCCGTTGGAGCCCGTTAGACCCGGTTGAACCGGCCCAGGCCCGCCTGCTGGTCCCGGGCTTAGCGGTCCCGGGCTCGTGGGCTTATAGAAGTGAACCGGCCCGCGACGGGCCTCCTGCACCATTGGGGACCGGCCCGCTAGGACCGGCCCGCCAGGACCGTTTAGCCCGTTGAGACCGCGGGCCTGATCCGGTCCCGGTCCCAGCCCGGCCCACCATACAACATTAAATAAAAATGAAAAAGAGAAGTCAACCTCTCCAATCAAAACAACATGATTGTATCAGTTCTTTGCAATTTGTAGCACCTTCCAATCCTCCAGGCAACTAGTAAAAGATAGGCAGAAAATTCTAAAGAAAATTCATTCTGTCCAAATCATAATACTAGCTATATTCCTCATTGTACTATTACATTGTAAGCACATACTACAACTACTAGTTATACAGCCTCCATGACCAAATTCCAATTGTAACAAATTCTTAAAAGATTATTAATTCATTTCCATAACTTCTCCCAATATTAAACATCTTACTATAATAATAAATTACCTCAAAATTTCAAAGTCTATACTTCAATATCTTCCGGTCAACTATACCACCAAACTAATAATCAAAATTCTCACATACTAAACCGAATCAGCCAAATCCATTTCTGGGTTTTGATCTTCATACATCAATCTCAAATGGGTCGGAAGCCAAATGATTCCGAACCCACGCGTTATGCCACTATGATCCTTCTTTTAATGGGTCTTGTTTCTTGTACTGCCGTGTACATTTTCATGTCGGCGGTTATGAGACCTGCCGGAAGTTCTGTGGTTGAGCGGTTAGCGGCGGAGGAAGGTGAATTTAGCGGTGGCGGTGGTGGTGAAGGGGAGGGTGAATGTTGTAGTGGGATCGAAAGTTTTGAGCTTTGGGGAGCTGCTGTGAAGTGGGGTTCTGATTTTAAGGTTAATAGTTCTAAAGAATGTTGTAAGGCTTGTAAGGCTATGTGTACGGGTAATCATGGACCTTGTCTTTGTGATACGTGGGTTTTTTGTGGAAATAAAAAGTTTTGTGGTGACAAATTTGGTGAGGTGAGTTTGAAAAATCTTTTCTTTCTTTCTTCCTATATGGTGTTTTTAGTTGTAAGTTATTGGCAATTTGACCCGGAAACAACCTCTCTATTCCTTCGGGTTAGGGGTAAGGTCTGTGTACATTCTACCCTCCCGAGACCCCACTAGTGGGATTCTACTGGGTTGTTGTTGTTGTTGTTGTTTGTTATTGGCAGTTTGAAATGATTTGTATGTTTAACTCTGATAAACCATGCAAAGTTTGTACCTTTAATTATGAAAGAATATACAATTGTAATGAAATAAAAGATAGAACATGATTTAGTGAATTGTGATGTTGGTTTTTGAACTAATCACAGAAGTGAGCTGTTCCAATTTGCAGCACATTGTTACCATGATAAAATGGTTTACTCTTTCCTTTTAGAAGTGCTTTTCTTGTGAATTAGCTAAAAGTCTTGCCTCATATGTTGTAGGGTGTCTGCAAATGTGATAAAAGTGTTTACTTTCAGCATTTATTTAAAATAGGTACTGAGTTTTTCAGATGACTATAATTGCTAGTATATGTTTCAAGGAACATAACCAAACGCAACTCAACCACATGAACCTGTTTTTTTGCTCGACAATCAGGAGAATTAAATGAGAAATTATCAGAGTTAGCCTCTTTTGTCCTAATGATTATCAAGAAAAGGAGGTCCACCGGCTAAGGTTTCAAAACCAATCAATTGGGCCTTCCAGAATAAAGTTTTGGAGGCTAAAGCTGTTAACTGAAAGCTATTGCCCATTTATAATAGTGACTGAACAATGAAGGAGGGCTCAGTTTGAGAGAAGCCCTCGTGTACTTAAATTTGACATCTATTAGTTCTGCATTCATTTTTGATTAGGTTGTTTTAATATTATTTTTTGGTATTTTAAGTTATTTTATGAACTAATATACACAACGTAAATTAGAGTTTTGACTGTTTGGTCTGGCATGTCTTGCTCGGTGATGTAGTGCTGGTTGAAGAAGCAGAAAGATACTTTGGCTCCTGATAGACAGGAAGCAGGAAACAAGGTTATGTGGACGTCCGGCATTGTTTTTGGAAAAGGAGAGGTATGCAACTTTCTCAAAAACTAAAATGCTATCTCCTTATAGCTCTTGAACATTTTGAAAATATTCATGGTTTTAACTGCTAAAATTTCTGAAGGGGAACCTTGGCGTAACTGGTCAAGTTGTTGTCATGTGACTAGGAGGTCACGGGTTCGTGGAAACAGCCTCTTGCAAAAATGCAGGGTAAGGCTGCGTACAACAGACCATTGTGGTCCGGCGCTTCCCCGGACCCCGCACATAGCGGGAGCTTAGTGCACCGGGCTGCCAACAACTGCTAAATTTTTTTTCTTTTCAATCCACTGCTTTTAGGGAATTGTCGCCTTGGAAACAGAATTCGGTGCTATTCACGTCAAGGTATGTTCTATTTTTTGGTGAATACATACTTCCATATATCTTGCCAGTTGCCGCAGACAAATGACAGTTATCTATAATTCTGCGCAGTTGCAACTCATTCTATAACTATATGGATTAGCTTTTATGATGCATTTTGAAAAATCTTTGTTTAGATACAAGTGATTGGTGAAACGTTCTCAATAGAATCCCGGGCAACGAGCAGTAGTCTATGAGGTTTAACTTTAATAGATGGGTGTTTAAATCGTATCTCTGCCAACATCGAGGTGTCTTTTGAAAAAGAATAATAAACAATGGTGAAAAAGTAACAATAAGGAATTAAAAGCAATGATTTGAGGAAGCTCTTGCTTAAACAGTTGATTTTGCTGATCATGCTTGAAGTATTTCCACGACTGTGCCTTTTCAAGTCTGCATGTTCCTATTCCTCAAACCAGGTAGGGTACAGTTCGTTACGGATGGGAGGGGATACAGTATGACTTTATACTGAAAGTTAGCATCCATTAGATGTCTACCCCGCTGTATCACGTTTCAGAGTCACTATACTTGGCTTTAATCTAGTCCTTTCTCTTAACCTGGATTTGCTAATTTCTTTTGATATGACTGTCTTGTATTTCTTCTTAACTTTCTGCAGCTTTTGCCAGAATGTTCCCCACGCTCAGTTTTTAACATTTTGGAGTTGTTGGGGTTGCGCCACTGTGCTGGTTGCCAATTTTTTCGTGCAGAAATTCGCGGACAAATTTGGGATACACATGGAGATCACATAAAAGATGTAAATATTCATCTCTCTTCTACAGTTTTACATGTGATTTCTAATCTTAAACAGCTTCGTTTTAGCTACATGAATATGATAAATTATACGGGTTCCCCCTCCCCCCGTGTCACAATTTGGCTCCTTTGACTACGTAGAGGGATTAGGAATAATTGCTCATTTTATCAATTTCAAACTCCCTCCATCCCGAATTTTATAACGATATTCCCATCTTTCTTCAAATTCAATCAATATACTTTTTTCCAAACAACTTTTTAGATTTTACTTATATAGTTTCTTCCACTACTACCAATATTCTTTATCTTTACCATCTAAAGTCACTATTACTACTAAAGAAATTGTTTGACAACAATTATTTCAAACATTTTGTGAATATCTTTTTACTCAAATCTTGCAATTTATAGTACTACTTATGTACATTTTGAGTGTGTGAATTTTAGTTCATATTTGAAGAACCAATATCCGTATTTATGCTAAAAATTAGAAGGTTCGAGGAACTCTGCCATTTCGGAATGGAGGAAGTAATATACAAATCAAATTAATATCCGACACTCCATGTCAGTCTAATAATGCTACATAAAATGGAATGGCGGGAGTACTATTTTTCCTTTGTTATTGATAGCTGTGAAAAAGCATGAAAGTGAGAGCAATGTTATGTATGTGTATCGTCTGTTGCAAAATGTTCAGCACCTTCCTCTTTGGATCCCAAATTTTGTCCAATTTCTTCTTTCGTAACTCTATGTATTACACATTTTGTATGTATTGCACTCTGAAACTTCTGCAATTCAACTTCCTTCCCAGCTGGTGTGACTGCTCAAAGCTCTTTTGAGTACCTCCTAAACAACTTAGTTGCTTCTTTTTTTGGCTTTTGTTCATTGCATTCCTGTGGTTGAAGATAAATTATGCAAAAGGAAATTTCATCTGTTATTCGTCTTGAGTAGTAAATTTCCTGAAGCGCACCAGTCATTCTCTGCTTCTTTGTTCATTCTGAAGTGCTATTTTTTGAGTACAAACTTCAATTTTCCTGAGTTCTTTGCATCTACTTTACAAAATTTCAGGCTTCTTTTGGCCCTCCATATGCTTTAGTACAAGGAACTCTTGATGCTCAAGGAGTAGCATTCGAGTCAGTTCCCAGTGAATCCTGTCCAGAAATAAGACGAGGTTCAGTTGCATGGGTTGGTTCTGGTCCTGAATTCTTTATAAGCTTAGCGAACCATCAAGAATGGAAAAAGTCGTACACTGTTTTTGGCTATGTGCTGCCGGAGGACATGGAAATTGTGGAGAAAATAGCTCAGCTCCCCACAAAATTAGATGTCTGGAGCGGAGTTAACGTGACAGTCTTGGAGAACCCTGTACCTCTGAGGGTCCGACGAATCAAGTCCAACAATGATGACCTAAACCTTAGCAGTTAGTACTTAAACAAGTTGTATGATTTCCAATTTGGCACACTACTGCTATTTGGAAAGAAGAAATAACACATTGTATTCATTGCCTCTTGGACTTGACTAGTATGAGAGATTGCACAACTTTATCTTTTAACTGGCTTAAGTTGAATTGACTATTGATTGGTTTTCAAAACCAATCCCATATTTTGTAGGACTTGTTTGAAAACTAACAGGAGAGACTCCAATTTGCATTTAACCTTTATATTATGACAACAACAACAAATCCACTAAAATCTCACAAGTGGGTCTGGGCAGGGTAGTGTATGCATACCTTACCCCTACCTTGTGAAGGTAGAGACGTTGTTTCCGATAAACCATCGGCTTAAGAAAAGCATATTCATAACAATGTTGAAAAAGAAATACGGTAATGGAGAAGCCATGAAAAAAGAAGCACTAACACAACCAAATAGTAAGATAACCAAAGCAAAAGAAACAACAGGTAATAATAGAAATCTAAGAATAAAAAAAATATGAGAATAATACTAAAACTACTGGTATGAAAAAGAGCGGTCAACTTTTTAATTGCATAAACTAAATCCAATGATCAAGTAATTAGTAACTAGCACGAATCAAGTTCAGGTTCTTACTTCCACGTTGTGGTCCATTGTTTCTTTCCTAATTGTTACTTTCTGTATAACTAAAGGGTGTTTGGTACGATGATAAAATAAGAGTAGTCATAAGTTGCAACATGATGACTAAATGACAACACATGAATTATGACGTAATTACAATGGGAAGTTTGATTTGTTATATTGAAATATGAGATACTCAAATTTAATTTTCAACAATTTGGACGGTACGGAAACAACGATGGCTATGATACACAAATATAGATTCTTCTGAAATTAGTTAGTTAATAAGAATGCCATGTCAGTAGAGGTAGTTAGAAACTTAGTTGGAGTTAGTTATAACAGTTAGTCAAGTTGTTAGTTGAGAGTAAAGGGAATCGAGACTGAATTGTGTGAGCTTGTTTTCTCCATAAAACAGTGTACTACATATTACAATCATCAATAAACATCTATTACAATCTTTCTGTCAAATCCTCTCAATTCTCTCTATTTCATCTTCTTCTTTCCGTCACCACTGCTGACCCTCTCGAGCTTCTCTATAAAGCTTCTGATTCAGCTGCTTAGTGCTCGAATTCTCATTGAATTCCTGCAATTAAGCTAACATTGGTATCAGATCCAGTCGTCCTCGACAATCATGGCGAAAGGTGTTCGATCAACTGAAAACTCGACCGAAGAACCAGGAGATTTTCGTGAATTGATGCAAAAATTGATAGCTGATGTTGGAGCTTTGTCAGGAGAAGTTTCAAATTTGAAGCGTTCAGATCAAACTGTACTTGAATTAAAGGAACAATTGGCAAAATCGGGTGGAAATCGAAGGGACAAAACTCCAATATTGAATGTAGGTGAGCCATCTGATGAAAGGTCACCATGGGAAATGAGTCCTGCTAGCTACAATCCTCACAATTCCAATTTTTCAAGGTGGTCAAGGATGGAATTTTTGAGGTTCAATGAGAAGGATTTGAAGTCTTGGTTGTTTAAAATCGAGCAATTTTTCTCTATGAAGAAGGTTGCTGCTGAAGAAAAAGTAGAAATAATTGTGATGGGCTTAAGGTCTTTTAAGCTATGTTTTGATGATCTAACAAACGTTCTGTATGGAACCAGATAAAAGACCAAGAACGATAATAAAAAGGGAAGAATAGAGTGAGGGGAACATATGGGGAAACATGTGTAAGTAAGAGCATAAAGTCAGGGGGAACTTGTGTCGCCTGTTATTCAATCTGGTTCTCTGAACTCTAACTCCTCGTTTTCAATGCTAAGTTTGCCGTCATCAAAAAGGGGGAAATTGATAGGTTTTCAATATCTTTGCCTTGTGTTTTGATGATCTAACAAAGTTAATGTCAAGAACCAGATAGGGAACCTGACTCACTTGGATTACACTGTATCTAACGGATTCCAGCCAAATGTGAACTTGCTACAGCTTCAGGTGGTAGGAACCCAGACAAGGACCTGATACTCTTGTGGGTTCCTCACGGCAGTACAAAGTCAATTGGACACAGCAGGAAACAAAGATTCTGCCGCACTGCACTGTTTCGAGTGCCCACTCATTCTCTGATCAACTAAAGTACAATGATTCAAGTTACTCAACTCAAGACAATCTGGGCAGTGTGCACAAGTACCAGATCAGGAACCTGATCCCTTGGTGCTCCCCTGACAGAAGTACAAGTCAACTATACAGCTGGAACACAACTGAGTGACTGTCTGCAACTATACAAAGAGGAACACAACAGGGACCTGGTCCCTTAGGGTTCTCTGACAGAAGTGCACATTCAACTACAGCTGGAAAGCAACTGCAGAAAGTGACTGCCTGCAACAGTGCAGCAGACAGAGCAACAGATAGTGCATCAGTCACTTCCCATTGAGATTGGACATCACCATTGTGAATTGACATCACTAAGGTAATGTCTTGTGTAGTATAAACCTCATGCAAGGGACAAGATTCTGGTTCAACACTTGCAAATACAAAAAACGAAAATTCTCTCAAGTGCTCAAGAACCTCTCTCAAGAACAAAGCTGCTTCAACCTCAAGGACTTGATCCAAGATCGAAGATATCTTAAGTCCTTAGGTTGTTGAGTCTTTGTTATGTGTTCTTCATTGTAATTCCTAGTTTGCTTTCTTAGAAGCTGTTTTTAGGAAACCCAAAATTTGTAAACTTTTGAGTTTATGTTGTGACTAGGGATAGTCATAAGCAAAAGCCTTTGTAACCGTAGTGTGACAAAGTGGCTTGTGGTGGAAATACCACAAGTTAGTCAAATTCTTTGTAACTAGGATAGTTATAGAGTGGCTTGTGATGAGAGCATCACAAGTTAGTTGAAGTCTTTTTAATAGGGTTATTGTAAAGTGGCTTGTAACAGGGAGTTTGCAAGTTAGTGAGTTAAAAGCGTACCGGTGTACGTCGTGGTTTTTTGATCCCCTTTGTGTGGGATTTTTCCACGTAAAAATCCTCGGCCTTATTTACATACAACTTTACTAGCATTCACAGCAGGACCCCACAAAGGACCAAGTAGTCTACTATTTGGTGGATTCACACAAAATTAGCATCGTACCAAACTGATATAGGACCAGATCCCTATACAGTTTGATTCATTAGTATTTTCAGAAGAAACACATAGAGAACCCGTTTCTCTATACAGTCTGGTGGACGCACAGTTTCTAACAAGTGGTATCAGAGCAGGTTCTTCCTATTAGGCTAACACCTAGGAAGGATCCTCATGGCTGCTCCACCAACTCTTGAAAGGAGAAAACCAAAGAAGGAAAAGTACCAGGTACTTAAAGCTGCTAACAATGATTTGAGTGAGGAAGACAGTTACATGGCTTACTTAACCAAAAGGTTTCAGAAGATGGTCAGAAGAAATGGAGAAGTGCTAGAAAGGGACAACTCTAACAGATCAAAGAACAATGATCTTTGTTACAAGTGCGGAAAGGCTGGACACTTCATGAAAAATTGTCCTCTCTTGAAGCAAGAATTCTCCAAGTACTCCAAGAGAAAAAGATCAGCTGAATATGACTCAATCTTTGCGTTAATGGCACAACCAGATGATGATGAAGACGATGACAACAAAGAGGTAAATTTCAGGGATGTTCAGAGAAATCTGAAATCTTGTTCTCCAAGAAAACTCATGTCTTTAGCTAATGTATTAATCAATGCTTTTCATAGTTTTGTGGAGGATAGGGATTCTTTGACCTTAGAGTTAGCAGAATCTGAACAAACTAGAGTCGACTTAGTGGCTGTAGTTACTCACCATAAGAAAACCATTGAAATTTTCAGAAAAGATAAGAATGATCTTTTGGCAGAAATTACAGACCTAAGGGAAACAATAGTGAAACCTTGGACTAAGTTAAAACCTGAAAAATCTGAAAAAGGAAAGGAGATAGCCAGTGAGGAACACATTAGGCTTGAGAATGAGTTGAAAGCTGCTAGAACTAGGATATGTGGTGAACTCGAGAAAAATAAGTAGTTTCAAGCTGAATTGAAGAGAGTAAAAAGTGATCTTGAGAAATCTCTCAAGTGGACCTGGTCTTCAGATGCTGTCACTGCCATGTACTTCAACAATAGTGGAAACAGGCAGGGAATCGGGTTCCAAAAGGAGAAAACTCCTTACAACCCTCACAGCAAGTACGTCACAGTTCCTGATAACTGGCTGTGTACCCACTATAGGAACAATGGGCACTTCAAGGAAAATTGCCAGGCCAGGAATCAATCTGTTGAAAAAGGAAACAAGGTGTTTGCTGAAAAGGTGACTACAAAAGAGGGACCAGGTTCCTCTCACAGAAAACACACATTACCTACATGGACTAGAAAAGCCCTTATCCATCCCCTTTATCATAACAACGGACCCAAACTAGTTTGGGTTCCTAAATCTAACCCATAATTTAGATGTGCAGGGAACAATGGGAGGAAGCGGACTGCAATGGACCATGAACAGTGTATGCTCAAAGCACATGACTGGAAGCACCATGGACTCTCTCTCACTGAAAGCCCTGCAGGAAGGGAATGTATCCTTAGAAAAGGAAGGTTACACTCTTGGTGTTGAAAAAAAAATTGGAAAGCCTCTTTGGCACTCAATTGAACGTGTACTATGTAGGTGGCCTGAAGTACAGTCTCCTGAGTGTCTCTCAAATCTGTGATAAAGGGATCAATGTGGAGTTCTTATCAAAAGTGTGCATAGTTACCAATCTGGTAACTGGCGAAGTGGTCTTAGTAGCCAAAAGACACAAGAACATCTACGTTGCTAACTTTTGAATCTCTAAAAGCTGGTGATATGAGATGCTTGAAGTCAGTTGATGATGACGCAAAAACGTTGGCATAGAAGATTGGGGCATGCAAGCTTCTCACTTCTGAATAAATTGATTCAGAAGAACCCGGTTCGTGGTCTGCCAAAATTCAAGATTCACCTGGACACTGGTTCTTAGAACAAAGGATGAGACTTTTGAGGTATTTGTGGGCTTTGTCAAGAAGATCCAAGTGAAGATGGAATTGAAGGTAGCACGCATCAGATCTGACCACGAGACAGAATTTGACAACGCCAAAATTGATGAGTTTGTAACAAAATTGGGATCACTCACAACCTCTCAGCACCAAGG